TGGGGTGCTTGGATGGTGAATGACAATGGCTAGGAATCTATCCACGGTACTACAGCACGTGTAGCGACTGCAGTGGTTTTTTCTTGCTCAAAGATCTAGAATCTAGAGTTTCTTTCAGCATCAGATTGCAAACCAGCCCTGCGCTGGACATGATTTCCATGGCACAATGGCCATGTATTTTCATGTATTGATCTCGCACAGAATCTCAAGGTGTGAAAATCAAAAGCGGTGAAGGTAAGTGACTTATATAATTATACTTAATTGACTTACGTAAGTTTGTGACAAACTGTTTGTCTTGTTTTCGGCTGTACTTCTCATCCAACACTGGCAACCTGTACATGGGTGCTCCAATGGCCGGACTTCCCCTTCCCTTTTTGGAGAATGCAGATCGATTGAAAGCGACCACAGCCGAAGAGGCCTCGCCTCTGGTCCTGGTATTGGGTGGTTCAACCTTTATGGGTAGAGCGACACTGGATGCACTCCTCCAAGTGCGGGCGAGAATTTGTGTGGTCAACCGTGGTCGCTTCTACTGGGGTACCAAAGACCCGTCTAACGGGCGTGTGGCAAGAGTTACTGCAGACAGGCGGGACAAACAAAGTTTTGCGGAACGAATTGATGCCGTGACTAGCCGGGCTGTGCAAAACGAACCATCCAGGGCATGGTCGTTAGTGGCAGATTTTTCAGCCTATGATGGTAACGATATAAATGCAGCTTTGGAAGGTTTACGTGGCCGTTTCCACCTCTATGCTTACATCTCTTCTGACTCTGTCTATGAGGTAAGCAAGTTGGCAGGCGAAGGGTGGCAATCAGGCGTTACTCATGTCTCAGAAGGATCTTCAGCCAGACCAACTGAAGCAGAGATGAGAAAAAAGTTGCGCAAGGCGGATGGATATGGTGATGGCAAGCTGGAGGCGGAAGAGGCCCTCTGTGCTGGGATTTCATGCCTCTCCGCCGAGCATCCGATCAGGGCAATCGCTCTGAGATTGCCAGATGTGTTGGGTCCATATGATGATACTTTCCGTTTGTGGGCCTATTGGCATTGGTGGCATTCAGGGCCAGAGAACAGACCACAGGTGAAAAAGCAGACTCTCAAGCGTTCAAGCCCCGACTCCCATCCAGGTGCTGATCCTGCTGACCCACCACTGGCTTTTGTTTTCAGCCATGACGTTGCTCGATTTTTGGTGCATTTGATCACCCAAGTGCCCGATCTACCAGCTGCGAATCAGAGTCATTTTGATGCAGTAAATTTGGGATGTGACCTCCAGATTCCCATGAGGAACTTCTTGGAGCTGCTGGCTCAAGCATCTGGCCTACATGGCGTCAGCCCGGCTTGCGTGGAACGTCCCAAAGGGTTCTTGCCAAGTGTTGATCGGCCCCTGCCGTTGGATTTCAAGAAGCTCAAGGAAACTTATTTGTTTAGCGCGACGCCCTTGGAGGAGGTGCACATGGACACGGGGTGGGAAAGGCCAAGCTGCCAGGGGATTTGCAGAAGTGTATGGCGTGATAATTGAGCTCACAGACCCCTTTGAATGTTTGTTTTGATTTTGACCACGTTTTGTTTGCCCATGCTGAGTGTGGACTTGTTGTTGGACGAATTCCATGATGTTGGCTCCAACGATCCAGTTCTGCGGTATAGAGCTTCCTGCGGGAGTCACGCAAACAATAACCATGGGAAGTAGAGAGTTGCTTCCAGTGAAGAGAGAAGGACGGGCCCCACCTCAACGATGATGTGCAGTCGAAGTGTGTGTGCAGGTGACCATGAACGTTATTGCCACCCCACCTCACCCCACCCCATCCCCCAGTTGAAGTATGTGTGCCAGTGATCATGCACGTTGTTGCCGCCACACCGCACGCCACCCCACTCCACACCCTACCCCGTCCCACCCCACCCCAACATCCGCGCATGCAAGTGCAAATGTCTGATGGGAGCTTGCCTGGTGGCCCTTTGGTAGCGTAAGTGAGGTGGTGGCGTAAGTGAGGCGAAACCCGGTGGCACAAGCGAGGCGTTCACCCTGTATAAGCGTGAGTTGCTTATTTATGCCGTAGTGCAAAGTTGAACAAATTCTTGTCGGGGCCGGTTTTCAAATCGCTCGCATGTCGCATGGATTCATTTTCCAAGCCGCATGTAAAAGAGTTTGGTTGAATGGTGTTGTGGACAGACGATTTTGATTGTTTTGGGAAAGTCGAACAGCCAGGTGCTCAAAGTTTGTGCTGACTGGTTTTCAGACGCATGCAAGCATTTTCCAGAGGAGGCAGCTGAGGCTGCGATGAAGCTGCCTCCCAGTGCCCGGGCACCTGCTCTAGCTTACGCTGGATTGGAGATGCCACAAAGCCCTTCTAGTGACTCCAGCTCTTCGTGAGCGACCGGTCTTGACACGAAATTCTTTTCGAAACTGGAATCGGCTGAGCCTGTTGAGAGTCAGACGGGCGAATGCGGTGGGAAAATGAAGCTCTTGAACAATCGCGCAGCTAAGAGGCGCAAAGGCATTTTTTTCCCATTTGCACCAGCAGAGTCAGAGTCAGCACAATGCCAAATGAAAGTTAGAAACTAGTACATAGCATAAATAATCTGCACGTTTATTGTGCGTATAATCATATACAATTTATTTTTAAATGTATGTTCTACACCTCTTTGCATGAGACCGAAACACAATATGATGTGGTGTGGTGTGGTGTGATATGATGCATGGCGTGATAAAATCCTATTCAATGATTTTCTATTACAGTATTGGGTCTGGTCTGTGACCCGATATCATCACGTGATGTGTAATCAGGCAAATGCTTACATCTTCCCCCTCCCTCTCTTTCTCTATTCTTTATTCACACACACACATATATATCCAACATACATATGCATTTGATCTTTTTGCATATGCGATTGAACTTGTATTATCCTCTATATTTTGAACACCTGTACCATAGTATTTTGCAATTTTAAATTCTCACATCTCTATTTCGTTATTTTTTATTTTTTGATTTTGCATTGTCAAGTATGATGGTAAACCCTACTATTGCTTTACCAGGTAGTGCCCGGCATGCGCCAGGGCAGAAGTTTAGGAACCAGATTGCTTATAAGAATTCTTGGTGAGTTGGAAAGACGTGCATGAATTGAAAATGAATGATTTGAAATGACATGAAATGAAAGGAAACGCCATGAATGAATGAATGGATGAATGAATGAACGAATGAATGAATGATTGATTGATTGATTGAATGAATGATTGATTGAATGAATGAACGAATGAATGAATGAAATGAAACGCAGAGAAATTAAATGAAACGAAATGAAAGAAATGATATGAAATGAATGAAACGATATGAAATGATATGAAATGATATGAAATGATATGAAATGAAACAAAACGCAATGGAATGAAATGAAAGAATGGCATGGAATGAATGAATGAAATGAATGAATGAACCAAAGAATGAATGAATGAAAGAATGAAATGAATGAATGAAATGAGATGAATTGAATGAATGAATGACATGAATGACCTGAAAGAAATGAAATGAAATGAAATGAAACAATGAATGAATGAAATGAATGAATGAATGAATGAAATGAAATGAAATGAAATGAAATGAATGATTGAATGAATGATTGAATGAATGAATGAATGAATGCAATGAATGAATGAAATGAATGAATGAAATGAATGAATGAAATGAATGAATGACATAAATGAATGACATGAATGAATGACATGAATGAATGAAATGAATGAATGACATGAATGAATGACATGAATGAATGAATGAATGAATGAAACGAAATGAAATGAAATGAAATGAAATGAAATGAATGAATGAATGAATGAATGAATGAAATGAATGAATGAAATGAATGAATGAATGAATGAAATGAATGAATGAATGAATGAATGAATGAATGAAATGAATGAATTGAAATGAAAATGAAATGAAATTAAATTGAATGAAATGAAATGAAATGAATGAATGAATGAATGAACTGAAGGAAATGAATGAATGAATGAATGAATGAATGAATGAATGAAATGAATGAATGAATGAATGAATGACTGAATGAAAGAAATGAATGAATGAATGAAAGAAAGAATGAAATGAATGAATGAATGAATGAATGAATGAATGGAATGAATGAATGAATGAATGAATGAATGAATGAATGGATGAATGAATGAATGAAATGAATGAATGAATGAATGAATGAAATGAATGAATGAATGAATGAATGAATGAATGAAGTGAATGAAATGAATGAAATGAATGAAATGAATGAAATGAATGAAATGAATGAAATGAATGAAGTGAATGAAGTGAATGAAATGAATGAAATGAATGAAATGAATGAAATGAATGAAATGAATGAAATGAATGAAATGAATGAAATGAATGAAATGAATGAAATGAATGAAATGAATGAAATGAATGAAATGAACGAAATGAATGAAATGAATGAAATGAATGAAATGAATGAAATGAATGAAATGAATGAAATGAATGAAATGAATGAAATGAATGAATTGAATGAAATGAATGAAATGAATGAAATGAATGAAATGAATGAAATGAATGAAATGAATGAAATGAATGAAATGAATGAAATGAATGAAATGAATGAAATGAATGAAATGAATGAAATGAATGAAATGAATGAAATGAATGAAATGAGTGAATGAATGAAATGAATGAAATGAATGAAATGAGTGAATGAAATGAATGAATGAATGAATGAAATGAATGAATGAATGAATGAATGAAATGAAATGAATGAATGAATGAATGAATGAAATGAATGAATGAATGAATGAATGAATGAATGAATGAATGAATTGAATGAATGCAATGAATGAATGAATTGAATGAATGCAATGAATGAATGAATTGAATGAATGCCATGAATGAATGAAATGAATGAATGAAATGAATGAATGACATGAATGAATGAAATGAATGAATGACATGAATGAATGACATGAATGAATGAAATGAATGAATGAAATGAATGAATGACATGAATGAATGAAATGAATGAATGAAATGAATGAATGAAAGAAATGACATGAATGAATGAATGAATGAATGAATGGAATGAATGGAATGAATGGAATGAATGCATGAATGAATGAATGAATGAATGAAGAAATGAATGAAATGAATGAATGAATGAAATGAAATGAAATGAAATGAAACGAAATAAAAGAAATGAAATGAAATGAAAAAAGGAATGAATGAATGAATGAAATGAATGAATGACAGGAATGAATGAAATGAATGAAATGAATGAATGACATGAATGAATGAATGAATGCATGCATGCATGAAATGACATGACATGAAATGAAATGAACTGAAATGAAATAAATGAATGAATGAATGAATGAATGAATGAAATGAATGAATGAAATGAATGAATGAAATGAATGAATGAAATGAATGAATGAATGAATGAATGAATGAATGAATGAAATGAATGAATGAAATGAATGAATGAATGAAATGAATGAATGAATGAATGAATGAATGAATGATTGAATGAATGAATGAATGAATGAATGAAATGAATGAATGAATGAATGAATGAATGGAATGAATGGAATGAATGAATGAATGAATGAATGAATGAAATGAATGAAATGAATTGAATGAATGAATGAATGAATGAATGAATGAAATGAATGAATGAATGAATGAAATGAATGAATGAAATGAATGAATGAATGAATGAATGAATGAATGAAATGAATGAATGAATGAATGAATGAAGGAATGAAGGAATGAAGACATGAAGGAATGAAGGAATGAAAGAATGAAGGAATGGAATGAATGAATGGAATGAATGAATGGAATGAATGAATGATTGATTCAATGAATGAATGAATGTATGAATGAATGAAATGAACTGAATGAATGAATGAATGAATTAATGAATGAATGAAATGAATGAATGAATGAATGAAATGAATGAATGAATGAATGAATGAATGAATGAAAGAAAGAAAGAATGAATGAATGGAATGAACGAACTGAATGAAATGAATGAATGAATGAATGAATGAATGAATGAATGAATGAAATGAATGAATGAATGAATGAATGAAGGAAGGAAGGAAGGAAGGAATGAAGGAATGAAGGAATGAAGGAATGAAGGAATGAAAGAATGAAGGAATGGAATGAAGGAATGGAATGAATGAATGGAATGAATGAATGGAAAGAATGAATGAATGATTCAATGAATGAATGAGTGAATGAATGAATGAATGAATGTATGAATGAATGAATGAATGAAATGAACTGAATGAATGAATGAATGAATTAATGAATGAAATGAATGAATGAATGAATGAATGAATGAATGAATGAAATGAATGAATGAATGAATGAATGAATAAATGAATGAAATGAATGAATGAATGAATGAATGGAATGAATGAATGAATGAATGAAATGAATGAATGAAAGAAATGACATGAATGAATGAATGAATGAATGAAAGAAAGGAAGAATGAATGAATGAATGGAATGAATGGAATGAATGAATGAATGAAGGAAGGAATGAATGAAGGAATGAATGAATGAAATGAAATGAATGAATGAATGAATGATTGATTGATTGAATGAATGATTGATTGAATGAATGAATGAACGAATGAATGAATGAAATGAAACGCAGAGAAATTAAATGAAATGAAATGAAAGAAATGACATGAAATGAATGAAACGATATGAAATGATATGAAATTATATGAAATGATATGAAATGAAACAAAACGCAATGGAATGAAATGAAAGAATGGCATGGAATGAATGAATGAATGCGTGTATGAATGAATGAAATGAATGAATGAACCAAAGAATGAATGAATGAAAGAATGAAATGAATGAATGAAATGAGATGAATTGAATGAATGAATGACATGAATGACATGAAAGAAATGAAATGAAATGAAATGAAACAATGAATGAATGAAATGAATGAATGAATGAATGAATGAATGAAATGAAATGAAATGAAATGAAATGAAATGAAATGAATGAATGAATGAATGAATGAAATGAATGAATGCAATGAATGAATGAAATGAATGAATGAAATGAAAGAATGAAATGAATGAATGACATAAATGAATGACATGAATGAATGACATGAATGAATGAAATGAATGAATGACAGGAATGAATGACATGAATGAATGAATGAATGAATGAAATGAAATGAAATGAAATGAAATGAAATGAAATGAATGAATGAATGAATGAATGAAATGAATGAATGAATGAATGCATGAATGAATGAATGAATGAATGAATGAATGAAATGAATGAATGAATGAATGAATGGATGGATGGATGAATGAATGAATGAATGAATGAATGAAATGAATGAAATGAATTGATTGAATGAATGAATGAATGAATGAAATGAATGAATGAATGAATGAAATGAATGAATGAA